TGCAACTGAAGTTAGGACTGTTTCTCTGAAAAATATGTTCATTATTACAGTCTGTTTGAGTCAGAAACGGACCGATGAATTGCAAATTTGATCATTGTACAAAATTGCCACATAAATATAAATAGTACACGTTTATCATTTACAGTCAACTCTCATTAATCCGACACTTGTGGTTGCAGAGAAATATGTCGGATTAACGAAAATGTCGGATTAATGTATTTGTGTGAAATTATCAATGTTTATTAAATGTCATGATCGTCATACTGTTTCTTGCATATCAGAAATGGTATATCTAGTTATCTTCATCGTGTGTAAAAATATTCACAGAAATAAAAAAAATAACAATACATCCTTGTTCTCATTTATTAACATCATATATGGCATAACATACATAATCACATAATCAATCAGTTTCATATCTATCTCATAACCACATTGCCACAAAACTCACGTTTGTTTTTACCGCATATCAGCAGCTATTAAGACCCCGATGTTGAAAATGTTACAGTTTCCATACAACTAATTCCATACTAACATGTGGACGCCTAGTGAACAATCGGGCATTTATCATAACATTTATAATTTAAAACTTGAAAAAGTCTTTGATGGTCATTAACATCAAACACGTCTAAGTGGTGTGTCAGAAATGTTTGCAAGGTGTTCAACGATGTTTTGGCCTCAGATAGTTTGAAGCATTGGAATCAGTCGTAGAGACGCTCAACCACTAAGCAGACTGCTTCAGGATGTCAGATACGGTTGATCGTCGAATCTTCACATCAAACTTCTGCTCAGCAAAAGTGATGACTTGTTGTTGTGTTGTCTGGGGTTTGTCTTTCTTCAAAAGGAGATTTCTTTCTTGATCAATGGTGTAACTTCTACTCGGGCTCACTTAGCAGGTGGTGTACTCATGACAGACATCTTGTGATGAAAACTCATGTCGGTTGTAAACATTTTATACAGCTCGCTCTACCGTTATTTCTTGATTAAATCATCTCGATTAATTATCCTGTTTTCCTAATTAACAAGTGTGATGTTCACCGATGTCGGTGTCAAGCAGCCAGTAAGGCACACGCTAATTACCACTCACGTGTGATTGTTTGTATACGGTCGTATTATCTGACCGGCTGTGTTGATTGTCGGATTAACGAATGTTTTTACAATGTATTTACAATAATCAGTTGCCAGATTGGTGTGTCGGAGTCGGAATGCGAGAATGTCGGATTAACGAGAGTAATTATCACTGTTTTAAATGGTTCCCTAAATTGTTGTCGGATTAACTTGATTGTCGGATTAATGAGTGTCGGATTAACGAGAGCTGACTGTACTAATACCCAACAGCTTTCTTATATTTGAAAATTTTCCGGACTCCACCAAACAAGTTGTTTAAGAAACTATCATCATTGAAAAAGCAAAAGTTGTTATCTGTCGCGGCGGGGTGAAACCGCAGAAACGGAACAGCCACTATCTTGTCGTGCACGTGATACACTTGCCTGATGAAAAATGAAGTTGAATGCTGACGTGAAACAGTTGATGATTAAAGTGTACGATTTTTTCCGTGCTGAAGCCGAAAGGGGCAAACCATTTTATGCCATTAATAAATTCCGTAAGTGGGCAGCAAAAGCTATAGGAGTATCAGCAAGGGTACCGACAAATGTTCTGGAACACAAACATTGTGAGGGTGATGCGAAGCTAGGTAGGGGTCATGTCAAAATCACACAAATTAAAACATTTGGACAACTTTCAAAAGAACCTTGTAAGGCAGTCTATCAACTACAGTGTACTCTGTCAATACCGGCATCAGTCGGGACCAAGTAAAAATGCCGGTTTTGACAGAGTGCCGGTTTAGCTAGGTTCGCTTATGACGCCTGCGCACACGGAAGTTCGCTGTCGTACTGTCACTTTAGCATTAACAAGATGTTTGAATAAGAAACAAGGCAGTGCCTGAATGCACATTCATGTTGTTTAAATCAAATAAAAATGTCTGAAATCTCTTATTAAATTTCAACTGATCATATATTATCGGCAGAATTAAAATTATAAACTATTTTTTGCAATGTTATTGCAAACAACGATTCTTGTTTATGCTTCGCAGCGGGTCCACAATAGCATTGTCAAAGAGCAAAGTAACGATGTTTCAAACATCGAGGAAATCATTAAATAAATTGAAATCAACAATAACATTCATAAAAGTTGTCAAACGTATATATAAAATTACTATTTCCATTCTTTTGGCGATCATGCAATGTAAGTCAAGTCACTGACAAGTTACATCTCGGCTTTCACCACGATGCTTAATGTGAAAATATATGCGTGAAGCATTTTGTCATAGGCCATAACCTAGCGCGATATGTCCAATACGTTCCATGATTTACGATAGGTAGCGATGTCTTTCTTAATATGTTCAGAATAGCATTATTTTACCCAAAAACTTTCGTCTTAATCTAAAACTTTTCGCTTTCACGAGGACGGTATCCATTTCCATAATATGATTGGCTGCCTAGGTCACGTGTCTGATTTTGACCAATCACGACCCTTATAAGCAAAGTGTAGTGAAAAGCGTCGTTAGAAACCAATCTTTATCCAATAAAATCGCTTCTTACAAATGTGAAAATACTCGGCAAGAGTACAGTGATATTGTTGATGTTCAGAGCTTTTCGAGCGATACATACACGCCATCAAACGATTAAGCCTCCATGTAAGTGACACGTGCCACTCACTAATTAACAAGAAACTGATTGATACTTCCGTTTCTGAATAATCTCGAGTCAATACCCGCGAATCAACAAAATGTAAACACTTGCTTGTTTATACAGTCAAACTGCCCACTACATGTATTAATTACTCTGGGTAAGTGTTACGCATACCACTCACTGATTAACGGGATACTGATTAACACTTCCCGTTTCTGAATAATCTCGGGAGTCACAGCGAATTGTGTTGTTACATCATTTGGACCTAATTGCATCAAAGGGTTACGCCGTCTTTCATGTGCCGGTTTTAACAGATTCGTTTTCATAACAACTTGTTCGTTGGGACTGAAAAACAATGCCGATATCCTGAATAGACAGATGCCGATGTTTACAGAAGTTTCTTAATGATAATAACGTGCATTTCTGCCGGGACTGAAACTTTGTGCCGATGTAGACAGAGTGCCGGTGTTAAGAGAGGCCGGTATTGACAGAGTCCACTGTAGCTATATTCTGAAAACAAATACAAGTCGCTGAAAATGTTAAAAAAGCATTTGAAGCAAGAACACAACCTCAGAGTTTCAAAGTACACACTCTGGCGACTCTTACACTCTTCCGGGTATCGTTATAAGAAAATTTGGGGGGAGAATAGGTCAGTACTCTGATATCGTTCGCTTGAGAAATAATTTTCTCAGGGTTATAAAGAAGAAGCGCGAGGAAGGGTTCGAGCCAGTGTACTTGGACGAGACCTGGGTCAATGCCTCGCACACTGCTAGCAGTCAGTGGGTACCCGATGGGGGTGATAAGGGGTCACGTAGAAAGCTGCCTCTAGGGAAAGGAGAGAGACTAATCATTCTCCATGCTGGTTGCTCCAGCAAAGGCTTTCTCCCAGGCTGCGACTTGGTATTCAGGGCAAAGTCCACAGATAACAGAGACTACCATTCCGAGATGAATGGTGCGGTTTTCCTCGATTGGGTTAAAAACAAGTTGGTACCAGCTCTACCAGAGAAGTCTTTTATCGTAATGGACAATGCCCCATACCACAGCGTGCAGGACCCCAACAGTAAAGCCCCGATATCGAACAGTCGAAAAGGTGTTTATGATATCATGGCTCGACATTTCAGATCGCACGGCCTTCAAAGGCAACGAAGCCTCAGCTATATGAGATCATAAAAACCCACAAAGGTGAACCTTTCTACAAAAAGTTGACAGTTACATAAAAAGTAAGGGTCACGATATTCTGCGACTTCCACCCTATCACTGTGACCTTAACCCCATTGACATGATATGGGGTATTGTCAAAGGAGATGTTGCCAGATCAAACACAACTTTTAGATTACGTGACGTAGAGGTTTTGGTTAAGGAATCCCTTAACAAAATCAGGACTGAAACTTGGCAAAACTGTGTCAACAAGGTAGCTAACGTCATTGAACAAGGTTACTGGTCTTGGGATGGCTTACAACAGGCAACTGTGGCACCACTTGTCATCCCTTTAAGTCGTGACTATGACACTACGACAGACGAGGAACCGACAGGTCTCCCGGAATAGATTTTGAGATGTCCCCTGCCATGACTGGCTGTTCTGTTTCTGCTGTTTTACCCCGCCGCGACAGATAACAACTTTTGCGTTTTCAATGATGATAGTTTCTTAAACAACTTGTTTGGTGGAGTCTGGACAATTTTCAAATATAAGAAAGCTGTTGGGTATTAGTAAATGATAAACATGTGTACTATTTATATTTATGTGGCAATTTTGTACAATGATCAAATTTGCAATTCATCGGTCCGTTTCTGACTCAAACGGACTGTAGACAACATTGACGAATACTGCTTGATTGTGACAGAGAAGAAAACAACAAAACATTTCAATTTGGATTATTTGTCATATCAAACAATTTTTTCCTATGTGTTAGCTTAACAAATTTACACTGTAAGAAACTTAAATAATACCAAATCCAGCCACATTTACAAGAACTTTTTTAATCTCACCTGATTTTACACTCCAAAGAAATTTAACTAACATTATATTCAATTCGTTCAGGAAATAACCTGCTTGCCATTGAACAAAACTGTCACCTTTGCACTAAGACAACACCCAGATGCTTTTAGGAGAATGAGGAACAGATAATTCAAGTTTGAAATGAGTAAGGCCTTGCAAGATGAGTAACTATTCTTTTCATCCATATGCTATCATTTCCTTGCAGATGCCATATTATGTGTACAATCGATTTAAAAAAGGCAAACATCAAATTAAAAGCTAATAAAAACCATAAATCTGGAACTGGATATCTAATAAATAACAATACTTCTTACCTCATACTTGGCAAAATGTTCTTCACTTTTGATATGCAACTCTGCACTTGTTACATCTCCGCTGAAGATATGACACAGAGAGCAGTAGAAGGCATCTGTGCTCATCATGAACTCTACACCTGAAATAGAAGCCAAAGAAAAATGATGCATTTTACAAACTTCTTAAAGCATGTTTTTTCAAATTAAAGAATCATAGTAAGGTTGTTGCATTTCACACTGCTCTGCAAAATGTTTAAGCAAAACTGTGTCAGTTTGATCTGTTTCTACAGTATCCCATTTTCATGTACTAACACACAAAAATACTCTCAATGCAACTTAGCTCACCTGAATAAAGAATTGCTGTTGGGAATTGGTTCAAATCCCATAACTAATGATTGGTTCATTACTACCAATCAATCATCGAAAACCAATTGGTTGGTGTCATTTTTCATATTTTTCACATTATTGCAGATAAACAAAGAAACAACATGTGGTTCTGTTTCGTTGAATTTATTTAGAAACTGCACAAAATGCAAATTTCACTTAAAATATGTAACTTGCCACTTTAAACTGATGACTAAAAAACTAACGGAATAAGAAACATAAAATTGTATAAAATAAAAGTTATTTGAAAAGTTATAAAAATAACCCTAAATAAACAGGTGGCAAAGCACTTTGCATGAAATTTGATGTCCCAAGACCAGAATGGTGCAAAATGAAGTGGCCAGACATTCTGGTGTCCATCAAAACACAATCTCATTTCTATTGAGACGTTTTCAACAAAATGGAAACTCAAGAGGTGAGGTGAGGTGAAATTGGGTTTTACGTCGTGCTTGAGAATATTTCGCTCATATGACGACGTGCATGCATGTGTAGGTGCGGCTGCTTGTACTAGCTCAGACTTAAGCTGGTTTTATAGTGCTAGCCCACTGAGATACCATGCTGCAGTGAAGCATGAATACCCCACTCAAACACATTATACTGACTCCAAGCCGACCAGTCCTTGTTGTACCCATTAATGCCGAGCGCCAGGCAGGGACCAACAAGTACCATATTTATACGTATTTTTGGTATGACGCGGTCGGGGATCGAACCCGCAACCTTCCGCTCTCCGGGCGGACGCTCTAACCACTACACCACGGAGGCGGTCGGAAACACAAGAGATTTGCCTTGGACCGGCCATCAGTGCGTGACATCACGCCTACAAGACAACCACATTTGGCTATCCCATCCAAGGAATCGACCATTTCTGGCTTACGTTCAATCAGGTCCAGGACTGTATGGAACTGACTGAGGGAGCACACCATCTGGCCCCAACAGCCTGCAATACTTCCAATTTTGCTCCAGTGTCACCAACAGGTACGTCTTGCCTGGTGCAGACAGCATCTACGGCACATGAGACAAGATTGGGATGGTGTTTTGTTCGCTGATGAGTCAAGATTTCATCTGCACAGCTCAGATGGCAGGGCAAGGTTGTACAGATGGTGAGGTAAACTGTATGCTGACGTTATGGTATGGGGAGGCATCACATCTCATGGTCGGACACAACTTGTCATTGTAAATGGCAATGTGACAGGTCTGCGATACAGGGATGAGATCATTGGGCCTCAGGTGTAGCCGGACAGAGAGAAACTTCACACTTCAGCAAGATAATGCCCATCCACATGCATGTCGTTTATGTTGTAACAGAACATTCTGGTACTCCCCTGGCCAGCTGTTTCTCCTGACCTGTCCCCTATCGAGCACGCCTGGGATGAAATATGTTGAAACAGGGAAATATATTTGTTGAATGCAAGTATTCATGTTATCATAATTAGATTGTACGGTCAATATTGGTCTTCAACTGAAGTTAACTGTTGAGTTATGATAATTCAAGTTACTGTATTACTCCATTTAAAATATATAGTTTCATGCAGATTATATGTACATGTTGAAATACCTGTGTAGCATATATATATTCATCCAATATGAGTTATTGTTACTCAGTAATTATTGAGTAAGAACAGAATTATACTAATAACCATCCATGCAAAGGTTAATGCTGAGTTGGATGGTACCGGTATGTGTAAATGATTTGCTACTAGGTAAGTGAGATAACTTGGTGTGGGTTGTATACCTGTAGTTAATCTGTAGAATGTCAGGTTATTGAACTAAGGGAGACAATCCATCTATTTCTGTTGTACTCTAAACTTGCTGTAACCAGCGTCGCACATTGACGCCATCTTATTGGGGTGAAGAATTAATTGACGCAGGAACTAAATCACACTGTTGTCTGTTTTCAGCCATTTTGATGGCAACGACCAACATCCTCTTCCAGGGGTGCAACATATAATTGATACTATATTCTAGTATATAATATAATACATGCATCATATTTTGTCACAATAAGAAAAGCATGAATGTTATTTTGAAACACAAATTTGTCACGACCATTTTCTCGCACCTGTTGTTGAGGCCAATGTTTGTAAACGCTGCAGCGTCGGACTAAGTTAAAGAAATCAACAAGCCTCACAATTATATGTTTCTTATCTGCATATTCAGTGTAGAATAAAGTGGTGGTCTTATATCAAGAAATGTTCAAATAAAAGATACTTGCATATGGAGTGTTGATCGACTACTGTTTCCTACATACACGGTCAAACTGGTTCTGTGATATGCCAATTATATAGTCAAAAACACAAGTTTGTTTTCTTATAAGCTATGATTAATCATTCTACATAGTGATTTGTGTTAAATTTGGGTTTGCCAGACGAAATATCTCCAAATTTAAAGTTAGTATTCAATAGCGAAAGATTTTTACCAGACAACCCCTGTCTGTGACATCACATCCGGTGACCTTTGCACTTACCAGAACACAACATAGATTTCGCAATCTTAATTCTCGTTCGTTTTTTTTGGTCATATTAAACTGAAAATCATAAATTAAAAACTTGTAGAATGAGAAATTCTTCAACTTTCGCCAGGGCTTACGTTTATTCCATCATGTCATGTCATGAAAATTGCAGAATAAAATAGATGATTTATCAATATTCACAAGTTCTAATTTCAAGTGTTATGGTTCATTATTTTCAACACAAGCCCACAGAAAACCAGTGTTGCACCGTGTTACACGTACGAAAAACAAACATGGTGCACTTCAGTCCAACTCCTACATAAAATATTGCTATTTTGATAGGAACAAGGTTTACAGGACCTGCATGTATAATAGTGCCATTTGAATAAAATATGTGATGACATCGAAAATACGATTTGTTTACGATGAACTAGACTACCAGTTGTCCGACTTCCATTTTGTGGAAGCTGCGTTGGCTGAGGGGTCTAGGCGTCTGACAGTGGGGACTGCTAAAAACGAAGGGAATTGCCACCAACCCGCTCAGCCACCACGACTTCCACAAAGTGCTGGCTGAGCGGTCTAGGTGCCTGACTCTGAGGGTGTGGGTTCGAATCCCGGATGGGACTCAACCCCAAAAGTACTGGAATCTGTACTTAACTGAGAAAGTGGAATCCCAAAACATATGTTACACTTCTGTATGTTTGAAATTATCAGGATATTTTGGGATGATAATGTTAGTAAAATCTAAATATTTTTTATATTTGTATACTTATCCTTCACTACTTTAGTACTTACTTCCTGCACTTATTGCTTACGACTCGGATAAACATCCATCTGCGCACGCATCACCGGAAGGTGACGTCAGCCACCTCTGATTATTGCCAAAATCCCAAAGATGAAGATGAAGAGGGGAGGTAGCTGAAAGCGCAGAGTGGGCCCTTATCTTAAGTAATACAGGATAAGTATACAAATATAAAAAATATTTAGATTTTACAATTTTTTTAACTAATCCTGCACTACTTACTTCCTGCACATTTATCGTACAGGGAGGATGGAGGGCGTGTCATCTGTGGGGATCGCCTTGCAAAGTAAACAAAGACAGCTCGGTCAATGTCATCAAGTGCGCCGCGGGGAAAACCATCATTGCACCTAGATCGGATAGCGAGTGACGACCAGTCAGGGCTAATATTCCATATAAGACATGAAGTCTTAAATGGAATATACCACACGATTTTTAAAGCGTTATTAGTTTTAGGGGAAATGCAGTAAAAAGCAGTGACTGGAGTTAACCTAAGTGTTACTCCTTAACTGACAGACCCAGTTATTCCAGAAAAACTCTCTTCCCACACGGCGTTGGTGTGCTTCATGGGAAGAAAAAGCATGGTGGAAGGTATCTTCGTTGCACCTGGAAGAATAGTCAACAAACAGTGACTATCTCTCAGTGGTAATTCGCAGATAATACATGTAGGCTTAAATGGAAAAGACCACATGATTTTTAAAGCGTTAGTGGCTTTAGGGAATGCAGCAAAAAGCATGGACTTGAGTCTATCCAAGTTGTTTTCCCCATGCGACATCGGCATGCTTCGTGGCGAGCAACAATGTAGGAGATGATACCCTTCTAGGATTGGTGAGTTGCTAGCCTGGCACCAATGGTCCAAAGCGTTGCCCACATCGTGTGGTGTGGATAATGATTGGCGTAGACTGTGTCCGACCGCTAGAAATATTCCTGCATTATCAGTGGCACTGTACAGTTACAGTGAAGTGCCATAGTAGAGGCAAGTGTACTAAGTACATGAGGATGACGTAGATGTAGGGAAAACCAGACCAGCCGAGAGAGAGAGAGAGAGAGAGAGATACATTCAGTGGACCCTGCTTCTTGGCAACACAACTGCTCGAACGACTACCCCTTGTTGTACATGTGCCTAATGGGAGTCTAATGTGCAGTAGCAATGCAGTAACAATACTCTGGCTGAAAATCAGTTGGCGTATAATGCCGCCTGCAAATGCAGTGTGTTAATTGAACCTTTCTGGCGCAGGATGCACAAGGATGTTTCCCCATCTGGCTAGTTCAAAAGGAGCTCTTGACACTAGACTGCTTAAAATCAGAAACCAACCTGTGGTTGGTCATCTGGACCCGACTAAATTTAGTCAAAGTCAGGTTGTTATTTCTTGATTGTGTCTAAGATATTTGGAAGCAAGACCGGAGGAAACGTATTGTGCGTGTAGCTCCCCCAGGGAATGCTTAAGCCAACCACTGCCCATGCTGACCATCCAGAGACGCAGACACATAAAACCAGTATCTCTTTG